GATCTTACTATTCAGTATTAGTCATCACCGTATCATTACATTCACACATCCTATACAACCAACACTTATTTCAGGGATATAAATCTGAAATCAATTTGAGTTATCCACTTAGAAAAATATTTAATAATTCTAATAATAATTTTTCGATTTATTATTTTTATTGTACATATTATTAGCTCGAACCGAGTTAAATGAAACTAATATGCTTTATTTTCATCATTTATGGTGCAAGAGGAATACCTTGGTCCCTCCTGAGACAGGAGCGAAAGGTGGATATGCCGAAAAGACATTGGTCTCAACAAATGAATAGAGCAGGGTTGATTCAGCCGTTCTCGAACCTGTTTTTCCTACAGTAACTCGTACAGGACCAGATGAGATTCCCTGAAAAAGATAATGGAAGTGTTGACTGAATCTGTGATGACAGCTCTTCTTAAGGATAATGATATTCGTACCTTTTCCAACCGACAGATGATTTTCTTCGAGATCTCATAGTGGATGACAGGACATCGACTACCGGCCACAAACACCCGGTCCTTCACTTCCTCGATCGTCGAACCTAAGTCTCTGCCGGTGATCGTCATCTGTGTGCCACCTTCGACCGGTCCACTGCTAGGGGTGAACTGCAAAAGGATTCGTGAAACATTTCAGACTGAAAAACTCCAGGTCACAAATCTCAGGTGCAACTTTTAGGGCTGCTCTGAGCCAAACCCAGGAAAATTCAACATGCAAAGCGTGTGGGTGACCTATACCATGAATGTTTAATTCTCCCACAGCTGGGTTTGAGCCTCAACTGGGACTGAACTTTTGTATTCCCTTCGCATCTTTGCCATAACAATCAGACTGGAATCCGCTATCATAAATAGCATACCATTAACCAGAACAAGATGACTCAAAAGAAACCTTTGAGATTAATTGCCATCCCATAAAAAATCTCGACGGAGCCCAACCAATGGCTCATGGTCACAAATTTCCAGGGAAGGATCACTCCCTACAAACTTCTTTTTTTCGCCATATCCTTCCCTGTTCATCAAATCGAGTCAGAAATGATCCAGCTTTGTCTGGCTGAGACACATCAAATTGGCTACGTTGCCGAGGCTAATTGGATTAAAGAAAGCGCAACGAACCGAGACGATCTGTGGTCGATCACAGATGACGTCCTGAGGAGGCTGAGGACAGTCATGTGAGCATCGACCACTGCACCACGAACATCCCCACGTGGCCGAGGCGTATACACATGAGGAGCAGTCAGCAGCCAACAGGGAGCACGAGTAGATGAGTACTGGAACAGATTGAGATTAGTTGCACCGAAAAAGAGGTTTCCGTGCGGAAAAGAGTGTCGATAGTAAAGTCCCTTATGCTTAGTGTAACTTATAAGTCATTACAGCTGTGGGAGAGCAAGATTAGAAACGCTCGAGTGTCGTATTCTTCAAAATTGCCCAGTTACTGTATGGTAGTTGTAGTGGAGGTAACGGCTGGGTAGCCAGGGAACTTGCGTCTGAGAGCTCCGTGTGCCTATCCTCAAGAGTACCGACCGATAACCGCCATTCTTACTGTGGATAACTCTCAGGGATTTTGAGAATGAAACTTGGGGGCACGAAACCTTTGAAGATTCCAATAAATAGTCCCCGTCTTCTTATTTCATTATCCAGTCTAGAAAGAGAGATTGAGGTGATCATCCCTTTATCCGAAATTACCCTGCCTTTGCCCGTCCAAGTTTGATGAGCTCATCGAACTAGTGGGAAGATGAAGAAAGACGAGGAAATAAACGGAAAAGTAGAAAGAGAAACTGACACCAAGGATAGTATCGATGCGAAAGCAATGCGCAATGGACAAACCTTCCGTGCTGTCGATGACATCCGTTCCTTGCATGAACTCGAGAGGAGCCGTAACATTAGGCAACGCATCGAGGTAGTTCAACTTCATCGCCTCGCACTTCACCGATGTCTAAAACCTCGTCATTAGCCGGAAGGATGGGATTCAAACTGTGTTTCCGAAGTAGTAGAAACACGGATGTCAGATGCACTGCCTAACCACGAACCAGATTCTCAGTGGCTTAAGCCCATGGATCCACCCTTAAATTCTGCTTCGGTATGGCAGCCTGATTTGGAATGGGCTCTAGTTCTGCGCAGCCTTTTTGAGAGTACTGCTCTCAGACAGCACACTCCGTAAACCAAAACTTTACAAAATGTAGACCACTGGCGTAAGAATAAGTCCACCAGCCTTCATCTTGTACAAGCTAAGAGAGATAGAGAGTTACTGGTTGGTATGGACAAGTCGATTTTGAAAGGCAGACAAGACCGTAGGTCCTGCTTTTTACTTGGATTGTATTAGCGAACAAAGACTAGATTATAAAAGATCGTTTTGCAGTACCGCACCTCAGATAGTTTGGCTTTAGCATGTACTGTAGTGCCGTTCAGGACCACTCGACAAGAATAGCTCTCCTTTTTAGGCAAACGATCCAAATGAGCAACACCAAATGAGATTTCCTGAGAATTCCCTTTAGGTATCATAAGTTGTGATGACCGCTTGATATGTACACACTCAGTGGCTCTGTCCTGAAACAAAAATTCAGCACTTGGAACTATGTAATGTCCCAGAGCAGACCTACCATGTTACATTTTCCACTCGAGACGCATTTATGCGATTCGATACACCAATCACAACCAGTCTCAGATGCACTGCATGACGAACACCTGAAGACCATTGGTAGGCAGTAAGTAAACTCTATGAGAATTTGAGGTTCTTTCGTCTTTGGGGGCTTCACGAAATGGTGAATGTTGGATTGTTCGGCAGATCGGGGCAGTCTTGGGTAATTTGCTGGTTACTACGAACGGTCGCAAAGTAGCCGGTTCGATTACATAACGCCCAAAGCCCATTACAAACAAGTAATTACCACATTTCCCATATGTGTTACATAGTTTGCAGTAAAGTCGCCCAATGACTTATTGCTGGCTATTCTCAAGAAACGCTACATGACAACACGTCCGTGAAATGCCATGCCCATTTAGGAACAATGCGGCGTGGGGGTAAACTCAAGTTGGTTTCTAATTTAGTTGAATTTTGATCAAAATTGGGTTCCGGCAATCTTTCAAGGGTTATTCAACATAATTACAGGTAGAATGGAGTGAATATTGTATGCTACCCATTTACCCAAAAGAAGGGTCTACCCTTCCCGTTCCTACACCTAGAAAACCTATAGCCACGAACAAACTTCCCGGGAAAACCCCTTGAGTCGTTGGAGGAGCAACGGCGATGCTGGGCACTGGGAGCGAACCTACGCGGTTTCCAAGAGTTCGTAAGAACGATCCTGACTTCAAACTCACGTCATAAAAGCTCCACAGTTGTACAGAGTAAAATTGTACTCGACTATACGGTAGGAACTGGTAGATGTGCTGAGAGCTAGTAGTTCTGTCAGTGACGATGGCAGGTCTGTCGATGAACGTAGCGAAGGAAGCGCACAGGAAACTCCGATCTCTGTCCATGTAGCCACACTCGACGAAGTGCCGAATAAGCAGACGTACGACTAAAAGGGTTTTCGTTTTCAGTCTTTAAACCAATTCTGAGGGTTATCCACGAATGCACTGGGGCATTTTCCACAGCTTAAAACGGCTATTCATGTCCAATAGGGCCTCGTCGTATTTCATATGAGAATATGCAAAATTCCCTTTTTAATGAGGGTGTTTGAATGGTCAGATATAGCGGCAGTACACTGGAAAACCACTGATCTATTATTTATGATTCATTGTACGAAATCGAGGAGTAAACAACCAAAAATTTGTTTACACTCAACTCTGATTTACGGTCATTGTGACGATACTGTTTTAGTGCAAAGCAATATTTAGACCCCGGCGGGAAGCTGGCAGGTTTTGAATTACCAGTTTTTTTGAAGCTTTTTTAAAGGTATTTTCCTAGCCTTTGTTGTTGTCATGAGATTTGAATCTCAACGGAATTACTCAAAAAGAAAGAAAGCATGAAAAGGAATCCCTAAATTCCCATGGTTTCGATTTATCTAAATCCCATAGGGAGACTTTGAGAAATAAGAATACCGCAGTTAATGTAAATATACAAAAATTAGATGTAGGCGATGGTATTCAGGAAGTAAGCATAGTAATTGACAGAGGTAAACTTACAAAACCATGAGGTTGAGGCAGATGTTTAATTGGCAGGGAGATATTCCTGTTGAGATCATCGATAGACAACGAAGCTGGTGATGGTGGGCCATTCCGGACTGGACATACACTAGCCTAAAGGAGAGGCCTAAGTGACAAAACTGAAGTCCTCTTTTTTGAAGCTGATCATGACCCTCCTTTGAAGACAAAACTGTCAAGCACAAAAATATAGTGTCGACAATGAGATTTCCTGCCGAAAGTGCTAAGATCGCTTGATCTTGCTTAGGATAAGCCACGAGTTCGACTTTCAACGAGGTTCATAACCGATTTGAACCCATTTTTTGACTATGTGATGACTTGATAGATGTCGAAAACAAGCCAGTTGCTCTAATCTTCAAGATCAATCGCGTGTCATTTGAGAGACCCATACTGCCGAGAGCTAAACTGGTCCTCAGAAAGGATGTGCCAGAATTCTACATACACTGTGTATACGCCAGAACTTTGGAACGAGGGGCAAAAAACCTTTACAATTTCGTTTTGGATGTAGTTTTCTATAGAAAAAAAGAAAAATTAGGATGACAAAACTTACAGCTGACGAAGGACAATGCATCGAAGTCATACACTTCCCAGCAGCAGGACACCATTGGCACATCGGATCAGGTGAAGTCACACATTCTTGGCAGGATGTAATCGTATGGCAGGACGAGATAGGCAGTGAAACGATCTGAATCGGAAACGGTTTTCTGTTGAAGTTCTACATTCTCTAAAGTTGTCATATACCGTCAGATAAGCTTTTTAGTGACCAAAAAGTAAAGCAATCTAGCCCCTTCGAATCGGCTGGGAAACTCTACGCGGAAGGTGTTGGCATGGCGCGACAACCTCAAGGCTTCCTGCACTGGGATATACATGCACTTTTAAAATGCATAGGATATGAAATGCCTCCAGAACCTGATTTCTATACATATACAGAGCCTATAGGGGCCAGCCGATGTTTCCAAACGGGGCACTCCTTCATCTGCCCAGGTGGGTACTGTATCACTAAGACATTTTAGAAAGACTTTTAGGAGTAAGAGTACTAGACCAATGCGTGCATTCATTTATGCTGCTTGTTTACATTATTTTTATTGATTATTTATTGATTACTTCTTTAGTAATCAAAAATGGGGTAACATCCCTGAATGGTCTCGTTCCAAAGGTTTTTTTTCACTTAGCAGCCTTTCGAAGGTTCGTACACTAGCCCTTTTCGGGCAATCCCAATGTAGGCGCTCAATTTTCCCCTGTCAAGTCATTAATCTCTCTTTCCCGTCAGAAATTGTTTATTGTCTCAGCGCCAGCTGATCTTTACAACCGCCGGAAGGAAGCAATCGGACCCTCAACGAGGTGACACCGAATCTCCCTTTGTCGCCAGCTGCCCTTGTGTGAATTATAAACTCCATCTAGACCGGACGGTATTAAAAACCCGGCCAGGTCTTTCGGTAATGGTGGAGAGCCAAGCCGTAGACTTATTGAGACGCGAATACCCGTAAAGGTGGGGTACGATGGATGCATTAGTGTCTAGCGGCCGTGGAAATTGTCGGAACCGGACTTTTAACGGAGTTTTGCACACGAAAATGTTACATGTGACACAAACCAGAACCTTCTCGTCGTCATTGCAATGTGTCATTTCATTCAAAAGAAATCCCTTTGGAAAGAACTTACTCCTTTGGGAAGGATGGCAAAAACGTTGACTTGTCGTACGTCGAGTTGTTGAACGTTGAAACCCATTCGACCATCACCAACGTTCCTCCGATCGTACTCTTCCAGTTGAGCCGGTGATTTCGATTTGAACTGGAATTGGATTTTTGAGAAAAAGGTTCGAAAAAAGTCCGACTCTGATGTTTACTCCTACATGGGAAGGCTTTATTTCCCAACTATTATGGCAGCTGGAACCTGCAAAAGTACTACGGTAGGTAATCAACAACCTACTTAAATACGGTATGCCTTTCTGTATCTGAAAAGGTTTGCAGAACCAGGAAATCTTAATTCCTTCCGGGGAATCCCACATGAAACCAATCGATTCCCACATGAAACCAATCCATATTCTTCTGTACTGGCTATAATCCGAGCTTCTCTCTGGGTGTTACTTCACATCAAAACGGTTCACTACTCCCTCAAAGCGACCAGCACCGCTTCAGTCAAGTGACCCCAAGGTCTGGAAGGTCCCGACGCCTTCCAAACTGGGTCTGTTTGTGAATGACACTCAAAACACGCTCGAGTTTGTGGTTTGAACTGAAAACTTAGATACCCATATAGATGTACCAGCCCAGTTTCCCACAATCAACTGCTCAACCCCAATAAAATTCTCCGGTTCGAGTGACTTTTTGTCCTCCCGCAAACGTCGTCGGCTCTCCCGACGATTCCCTTTGAATGAACTGAGAAAAGGACTAGGAGGTCGGGTCCACGGCGAAGTGGTCAACGTGACAAACAATCTTTGACGAGGGCGGCTGCTGCCATTGAGGCCTATTCACACATTGAAGACGAACGGAAGAGCTTCCCGTGGCCGAGGACAATAGCCGTAGATATGGAGAGAATTACTTATGAACAACGGATCTTAATGGAATTTGCCCATTCGAGGTAGTCTTGTATGTCTCTGGGTACATCAAGCGCTTAGTGTTAAAAAGGGACCATATATCGGTCAACGAACCTGAGAAGCGCTTTGAATTTTCTGAAAATTTTTCTGACTTGACGAATGATTTTCGTCCCAAGGATCTATAGGTTGTGGGTAAACCCAAGCACCACACCACAAGCAATAATTTGTAAACACAGCGTACAGTAATTTGGAATTGGTTCCGTAAAAACGAGGAAATCATTTGAGGTCGACCAAATGACTCGTACGGGTGGATTAACAAACGTGTGCTCTTGCTGGCCTAGACTTGGGTAGAACAAGTGAGCATTCAAATGTCTCCACAATTTCGAATGTACGTCTAATGCGAGGCGCACTCCAAGACGCGATCGATCGACACGAGTTATGCTTGGAGCGCAGCATCTCACACGACGATCAGCAAAACATTTCATTTTACCCTATATCGATAGTCAAGCCGACCCCCATGGGCAATCCTCAGAATACTGTGAATTCAGGAGTGCCCTGAGAGATTTTAAAGACATCACACCACGTTTCTATCGGGTATCTTCTAGAAATGCTTATGGATCAGTTGAGTGATTCAAATGAGAACGTTGAAACGGTAAACTTCAAAGTTTTCTTTTTAATTTCTTTCCCTTCGGAACCACCCGTTGGTTATACAGCAAAAAGCGATTTGTAAACAATTAATAAAAATAAGTNTCACACCACGTTTCTATCGGGTATCTTCTAGAAATGCTTACGCGATCAGTTGAGTGAATTAAATGTGAACGTTGAAACGGTAAACTTCAAAATTCTCTTTTTAATTTCTTTCCCTTCGGAACCACCCGTTGGTTATACAGCAAAAAGCGATTTGTAAACAATTAATAAAAATAAGTTTCTTTTTTGGCCGGGAAGATAGGCAGTTTGATAGACTCTCTTGCAGAACTCTGCCTTACAGTCAGCCCTCCCATAGTCATCTATTCTGGGAACGAGGGAGCATAGAGGATTTTTTAATTTTAGAAAAAAGCAATTTAATATTCCTCAGCAGTCCGATTTACTTCCGGGGGACTCCTATGGCTGAAATATTCCAAAAATTTTATAATTCTAGGTTCTGGTTTCTACAGCAGCGCTAGCAGATAGCTTGGACACCACTCAATTGTCCGCTCGATTTTGAGACCATTAAACTCGTACGGCGGATTCCATGGCTGTGGTTTTGATCCAATACAATTTCGTCTTTTCTCTACCCACCGGGGAAGGAAGGGAAACTAACCCCACTTAACGGGATGACAAACAATTTTGATGTCCTTGAACCGCTGT